GGAAGACATAATAAGTGGCAGAGCTGGGATTAGAACCCAGGTAGTTAAGTTCCTGAGTCTATATTTTAACTGTTGTTGTTGTTAGGTGTCGTAGAGTTGATTCCGACTCATAGTGACTTTATGCACAACAGAATGAAACCCTGCCCAGTACTGCATCATCTTCACAATCATTGTTAAGCTTGAGCCCCTTGCTGCTGCCACTGTGCCATTCCATCTTGTTGGGGGTGGTCTTCCTCTTTTTTGCTGACCTTCCACTTTACCCAGCATGACATCTTTCTCCATGGACTGGTCCCTTCTGACAATATGTCCAAAGCATGAGAGATGAAGTATCACCATCCTGGCTTCTAAAGAGCATTCTGGTTATAAAATGTAGTGAGAAGTAGAATATTTTAACTACTCACTACATTTTACTGCTTCTCTATCAAAGATTCAATGACTAAGAGTAGGAATAAATGCTGTTTCACCAAAGCAGAATGAGAAGACTGACTTCAGATCTGGAAAAGCTGAGTTCTTTTGTTTCCCATCAAAAAGGACTTGGAAAAAGTACAATGTTTATCATGTTAATAAAATCACCCACTCCCTTACGACACCCACAATCACACCCATGCCAACGTGGAGCATCTGAAGACAGTCCAATTTCCTGCATTTAACTTATGCCACTTATCTCTAAAGACCTCCACATCAGCAGTTCCTTCCCTAAAACATTATTTTTTTAAAAGGGTACCAAAAAAAAACCAAGAAGAAAGAAAAGCAATCCTTTCTAAACACAGAATTTACATCAGAATTTTTCAAGCGCTTTATTCTAAAATCCTTTTCATGAGTGTAAGCTAAGGACAAGAGAAAAGTATCATCGACCAGCTGATGAAACAAGTGTCAGAGCTGGCAACTAAACCTCTAAGAACAGGGAACACTGCGGCTAAATTATGTGTACCTGCAATTAAATAGACCTTGGTTAGAATCTTGGTTACTTACTGTAACCTTTTCACAAATGTAAAATATGGCTAACAAAAATATCTATCCCATATGGAAGGCAAATATTCCATAGGTGTCAGTGCCAGATTTTTATTTCAGAGACTTGACAGTCATCCACTTCTGATTCAGGCAGGAGAGCACATGAACCGCCCCCACTAATAGCTTTCTTGACAACATTTTCAGGAATCACTGCCTGGGTAGCACTACCAGGGGTGAGGGGTAGAAAGGAGGAGAGCCATAAAGGGGAGTTTGCAAGAGTTTTATAAAAGTTTGAAAAGAGTAGTAATTCCTTTGCTGTTGTTTTTAAGTGTCATGGAGTTGGTTCTGACTCATAGTGACCCTGTATAGGGTTTCTGAGGAGTGACTGGTGGGTTTGGATTGCCGACCTTGTGGTTAGCAGTGCTTTTCCTACCTACAGAGTCACTCTAGGACTCCACTTCCTTTCATAAACAATTAATTTTTCTTCAATAGGAGGAAATAGTAATAGTAACATTTACCAAATGCTTTCTAAATGTGTGACACAATGCAAGGGAGTTTCGAAAAGTTTGTGGAAAAGTAGAATGAAAGATAATGGAATTTTTCCACAAACTTTTTGAAGCTCCCTCAAATTCAATACTTTTTCTTTTAATCTTTACAACACAGTCCTCCTTTCTCAAGTTGCCCTCCTATGTTTCTGCAGTCCAAGGCATTTCCCCACTCAGCACATATCACCATTTACCAGTTACTGTTGATTCTGTTCCAACTTACGGTGACCCCAAGTATTTCAGAATAGAACTGGTATTCATATGGTGTTCATGGGTATGACCTTTTGGAAGCAAATCACCAGGCCTTTCTTCCAAAGTGCCTCTGGTTAGGTTCAAACCACCAACTTTTAAGTAAGTAGCCTAGCACTTAACTGTCTGTACCACCCAGGGACTCCTGTACATATCACAGTGTCATGCCTGCTTACCACTGCCATCTAGTCAATTTTGACTCATAGCTACCCTGTATAGGGTTTCCAAGGCTGTAAATCTTTGTAGGAACAGAAAGCCTCATCTTTTTCCTGTGGAGCAGCTGGTGGGTTTGAACTGCCAACCATATAGTTAGCAGACTTGTCTTTGTATCTCACCATATTATAAACTACAAAAGGACAGGAATCATAATCATCATATTTACCAATCATTCATTTATTCTTTCAACAAATATTCCTGAACATGAACAAGACAAAAATGGTAATCGCTCATACTTTCTAAAGATGGTTACAGCACTATCTCCCATCCTACACACTTTTTACAAATGTGACCTTGACACTCCTCCCATTGTGTGTTTGGCATTGTGGCAGCAAGGGGAGGGGGAGGGGAGTGGTGGGAAAGTGGGGTGGGGAGGGGAATTTTCTCTCTTGAACCTACCTCAATAGAGTAAAGCAAAAGTAATATTCTATGACTTGTAGACTAGAGGAAAAAAAAAAAAAAAGGCTTTTTTGTTGTTGTTTTTTGCCTGCCTTATTCTCCTGGGACACTCACACATGGAATCCAGATGCACCGTTGTATGCTGTCAATTCCAATGCATAGTGACCCTATAGGCAAAGCAGAATTGCTTCATAAGGTTTCCTAGGTCCACATCAGGTATTTGTTGGGGTCCTAGTGTGGCACTGTAGGATAAGCACTGGACTGCTAACTGCGAGGTCTGTGATTCAAACGCACCAGCCTCTCCTAGAAGTCCTATACAGGGTCACTATGAGTTTGAACTGACTGTTGTTGTTAAGTACCTTGGAGTCGGTTCCGACTCATAGTGACCCTTCACAGGGTTTCCGAGGTTATAAATCTTTATGGGAGCAGAAAGCCTCATGTTTCTCCCGCAGAATGGCTGGTAGTTTCGAACTGCTGACCTTGCGGTTCAAAGCCCGATTCGTAACCACTACGCTACCAGAGCTCCTTTTGAACTGATTAGATGATACTTAACAATCTTAATAGGAGCAGACTGCCAGATCTTTTCTATACAACCGAGCACTTAACCACTGTGCCACCAGGGCTCCTTCCCAAAATAGTTCTTGCAGAAAAACTACATGTAGAGAGAAGTCACCAAATCAGTTGAGACCTAGACATCATGAAACAAAGACAAATCTTCCATACTGTGCCTTGTTCAAATTCCTAATCCACAGAAGCATGAGCATAAAATAATTTCTCACACCACTAAGCTTTGGGGTGCTTTATAATGCAGCAATGGTAATTAGAACAACCACAGAGAGCTTTAAGTCTAGCAAGGTATAAAGATACTGGCTGTTTCCAAGATACTGCCAACATCTAATACAGTAACTGGAACACAGAGAAATAGTTAAGTGAAGAAGTCCTCATTATGCCCATTGACAGATTAGGAATTGAGGCTTTGAGAGATTAAATAACTCATCCAAGGCCACTCAGCTGGTCAGGGCCAGAACAAATTAAAATTCAGATCTAAACCCACATTCCTTAACACTCTTGTCTCCCTTAGAACTGGGGGGAGAAAAATCATTCTGGGGGAGTTCTTGTAATTTTATGCTAAAAACACAGCAATATGTTTTAAAAAGGGATTTTCCCTATTTTAAACATTCTGGCCTAATAGAGCTCATCATGGAGTCCTAGCATGGCGCTGTGGGCTAATGCGTCAGACTGCAAAATCGTTTGAACTGCAAGGTTGGTGGTTCAAGCTTACCAGCTGCTCCTTGGAAGCCCTATACAGGGATGTTATGGGTCGGAATCCACTCCACAGCATTTAACAACAACAATGCAGTTTCATTCCCCTGAGATGGAAATCCACACATTACTTCCTTTGAGAAGCCTTTCCTAACTGCCCTTCCTAACTCTAATGCCAGGTCTTCCCCATACTCAAGCCCTTCTACCCATCAATTTCATTTTCTTCCTAGCACTTAATCCCTAGCAGAAAAATCTTGTTTACTAATTTGTTCATGTGTCTATTGTTTTATTTTCTGTCCCAATTAGAATATAAGCTTCATGAGAGCAGGGACCTTGTCTATTCTGCTCATTGTATCCCCTGTAACTGGGGCAGTGCCTGGAATATGGCAGATGCTCCAAAAATATTTACTGAGTGAAGGAGTGACTGCATTCAGAAACACTGATTGCCCACCCAATCTCATCACCCACAAAGAAATGGTATGCGTATAGTGCTGATAAGATAAAATAGAATTCAAAAACACAGTAGGACTGCTGTAGTCATTCTCTACAGTAAGGTCAGTACAAAAAAGGGAAAGGAGGGGTTCATGCCACAAGCCACCCACTTAGAAAAGCATAAAGCAAGTCCACAGAAAAGCCAATTCAACTTTCAATTAAGTGAAAAATTCATGATCAAGCTTAGAATTAAAATATAAAAGATGCGATGAAGTAGGGAGCAGACGGATGAAGCAAAAACGGTCATACTTCTGCCTTCCATTTATAACCACTACCCTCTAGTTCCTCAAAAAAAAATCACTTTCTTCAGACACACTGGCTTAACCACACCAAAGACAACTGTTGGTGACTCTAACCTCAGACCTCCTACCCTTCATCTGGCACTTCCTTACTCACCTTGACACGCCTCCCTGGCTTGTAAGGTCGCCACAAGGAAAGGAAAAGGAAGTGACCAAGCTCATCCTGGAAAAGGTGAGGAGGGGAGTCTTCAGACCCAGAACAGGGATCTCAGCATAAGCACGTCCCCAACGGTCCTGTTTCTCCCTAAAGACAAAGTTCCCCTTCCAAAGGGCCTACCAAGTGCTAGGCACTATGCTGGACTCTTAAGCACGTTTTTTCCTGGTCAAGGGACTGTTTCTTTGCCCAAGAATTTAGGGAGGGCTTAAGTACAACTTCACCAACATTTCCCCCATGCGCTACTCCCTACATCAAGAAATCTCCCTCAAATTCCTGGAGCGGTTTGGGGATGATCAAAAGAAACCTAGCGTGGCCTAAGAAACAGAACGCGAAGAGGATAGTGTTAGGCTAGGGGCGGGGTGGGAGGGGGGGTTATATCAGATAGAGGCCCAAGATCAGTTAAAGATTAAAATAAGAACGCGCTCTAACCCTTTCCAAGCCCAGTATGTCCATCAGAAGAGGTGATGAGGAGCAGGAAACTGAAGCCCAGCAAACAGGTGGCCCCGAGACGAGACCGCAGCTCCATGGTAGTAGGTGCGCTGGGCCACCAGAATGAGAGGACCTACAGGGTCGGAATCTTAGTCGAAAGTCCGTACCGTGCTCCGAGCGTGTTTCACTCCAACCCCTAGCGTTCCCAGATTTTTTTTTTTTTCCCTTTTTTTTTCAAACCCTGAAGGAAGTGATGTTAGACGGATGTGGGTGGTGCCTACAGGGTTCGGTTTGATATGAAGTAAATTTAAAGGTGCAGCTCACGTAGGAGAAAAAGGATGCGGGAGTTGCCTCGAGCGAGAGTTCCTTCCACGCGGTTCCACCGAGAGGGAAAAGGTGGACCGTGGCAGTGGGGGTGGGGAGGGGAGAAAAGAAGAAGAGACTGGAGAACGGTTGGGGATTCTGTCAACCAGTCAAACTATTGACTCTCCACGCCCGCAGAACCTCTGCGCTTAATTCAAAACGCAAGTCTTTGATTGGGGACAACTCTCAATGCTTGGCGGCTTGCTCATTAGCCTGGGGTCCTTATACCCCCACCCCCCTGTTAAATAAAACACACACCAATGATTTCATTTCTAGGTTTCTGCTCAGGACTCTGAAGAGACCTGGCAAATATATTCTACAGTGCATGGTCTCATTGAAGAAATGCCCCCTTCCTGCTGGAGAAGAAACTTTGTACCTTATTTGTTTTTCCTTAAAACCGCAATTCTTCCACCTAGAAATGATGCAACCAACTGATGCAAGAAGCTCCAAGAAAACCAAATTTAGGACCTCTTATTCCACGGCATATACCAACATTGCAAAACTGACCAGAATGAACCAGGGCATAAGTCATTGCAGACTTATGTCTTCTGACTAAATCTCTGTTTCCGTTGTTTTTAAATTCTTTGTGGGTTGAGTGTTTATTTCTTTCCTCTACTTCATAAAAAAGAAAAGAAAAATTTCTGTCTCGCCTCCGTGCACTAGTTGAAACTAACAATGCCGTTCTTAATGCATAATGAAAAGCAACCGAACAAAAGTAAACACAAACAAAAATACACCTAGTCTTTTTATGAGGCCCCTTACGCATAAGGTCGCTATGGGTCAGTACCGACTCGATGGCAAATAACAACAACACAGATTGTAGGGAGCGCTGGTGGTAGGCATAGCGCTCAGCGGCTAACCAAAAGGTCCGCTGTTGAAACCCACCAGCCGCTTGGCAGGAGAAGATGTGACAGCCTTCTGTAAAGATTTACACCCTTGGAAAACCTGTAGGGCAATTCTCTGTCCTACTAGAGTAGCCATGAGTCGGAAACCTCTCCTGAGCAGTGGGTTTGCTTTGGTTGGTATAGATTATAGAAAAGGACACAATGGAGCGCAAGAAAGACTGCAAGTTCCAGGATGCAGCGCGGCTATTAGCACCCGCCACATCTCTATTGGGAGGCGCACAGCAGGCTGGGTTTTGTAGTTCATATGTGTGCTCCCCGATAGGCCTCTCTGGCGAGGGAGAGGCGGGGCTGGCTTTGTCACGTGGACTCCGCTCCCGCCACCGTCGTCTTTCTCTGTCCCCACTGAAGCAGCCATCTTGCTCTTGCCGCGTGCTGGTGTTTGAGGACCCTCCCTGCTCAGGTGAGACCCCCGGCGGTCCCGCCACTTCACGGTCATAGGCCGCTGCGCACGGTCTCCCCCCACCCCCCCGCCCTCTCCTTCCGACACCCGCCAACCGCTCGGGCTGCCACTTCCGCCGTGGCGCGCCAAGTGGGGGCGGAGGCGGCTGACTTGGCCTGTAGGTTACCGGCGGCGCAGCTGGGGGTCGGCACCTGAGGGAAGGTCCCCAGCACCACAGCCTCCTTTGAGAGCGAGCTGGCCCACACTGTTGCGGTCTAAATCCAGTCCCGGGAGGCAAGTGATTCCCACCTCGGTCCCGCTACTCCCCATTATTCACAACAACAATGCCGCGAGCTTTGTACAGGCTATTCCTTTCCATCTCATTTGATATCGTCAGTGAGTTCATTAAGATCAACAGATAGGGAAACTGAGGTTAGCATCCCTCCCCGATCCCCAAACACTTGGGACGGAACTTAGTTGCCGCGCTCTTCACCTTGTGTGGGCAGTGTTTGTTTACAAGTCAGCCTCCCTCTTTGACACATTTCCCTGCCTATCTTTATAGCCTCATCAACTACCTAATGTCAGAAATAGTTGATTGACCCACAGGCCCGATGTCACACATGAATGGCGGTTTCAACTTCCGTTCCCACGTTCTTTCACTATACTTTAGCTGCCTCTTTGCCAGTAGTAACAATAGTTACCAACCCAGTTGTGACCCATACACTCTGCTTGATCCTTTAACCTTTACCCTTGAAACAATCCTGTGGATTCTCTATTCTTTTACTAGCAGAAGGGGGAAAGCAAGTTCGGAAAAGTAAAATAATTTTACAAAGGGTTAAAGAATTAATCCTGTGTGTAGAACCCTAGTCCTTCTGATTCTTAGGACTAAGCCTCTCTCAAACACCCCCGTAATAACCAGAACTGAACGTTGAAAATTATTTATCTCCGTAGACATATTTGTGAAAGTGTCTATCACAGTAGACGCTTTGTTGTTGTTAAGTGCTCTAGAGTCGGTTCCTACCCATAGCGACCCTATATAGGGTTTCCAAGGAGCTTCTGGTGAGCTTGAACCGCCGACCTTGCAGTTCAAACGGTTTTGCAGTCTGGCGTTAACCCAGTGTGCCACGCTTAGGCACTCAAAAAATATTGATTGTAACATCTTTATTCACACCTTTTCTTGAGTCCTGGAGGAAGTGGTAAAAAGGTTCTTAGATCTCTAAGGAAGAGCTCACTAAAAATGTGGCCATAGGAAGTTACTTCTTCCTACAGGCACTTCCTCCTTAGGAAATGCCTTCTCCCTTTACAGACCCTCATTTCCAATCTTATAAATTAGGGGGGAGAGGGAAACAGTTTTATTTGTCTATAAGTTATACCCGGTTACTGTCAAGAGGTATTTAAAATGACCTCACATTTAACGCAGGAATGATGGGCACAGTAAAGCTTGATTGAGAAATAGGGAACCCAAGCAGCAGATCTTTGCTATCTGTTCCAGATTCTGAATTTGCCATCTCTTCTTGCTGTGTTAGATCCAGTGCTCTTTACTAACTGACTTTCACATACCCCAACCTACTACTAGTAGACAAAGGACCACCCAGACTCCTAGAACTTCCATCCTCCCTCAAACGTGTCTCTGAACCTAGGAGCAAGTTTTCTTAATTCTGTTATCTTGACGGGCCACTATAGAATCTATTCTTTGAAGCACACATTGATTTAAAGAGTTAATTTTGTTCTATCTTTTCAAATTATGTCAGGACTTTTGTCTTGGCTTTCCAACCCCATCTCTTGTAAATTGTTAATTCAAAGTGTATTCTGTAACAAAAGGTTTAGCCTGATTTGTTTTTCTGATATTTTCTCTGAGGAATTCTTTTTTTTTGTTGTATCATTATACCTTTGTGGCCACATTCCTTGAGAAAAGTGGCTATTGATCTTTTTCTGTAGATATTTGAGTACAGAGATTGGAATTTACATTAGCAAATTTAAGTCTATGGTAGAAATGAGATTGGTATACCTAAGGTTGTGCATGCTAATCACACTTCTTATAAAAGTGTTTTTAGCTGCTTGAACATAGTGGTATGGTACTGAGCACAGATTTAAGAGTCACAAATTCTAAATCTTATATAGGAATTGGATTTTATTTGAACTTAAAGGGAAAATGTTGTTAAGTTCATTGAGTAGGTTCCGACTCACAGCGACTCAGTATAGGTAGGGTTTCCAAGGAGTAGCTGGTGAGTTTGAACCATCGACCTTGTGGTACAAACCGACCCTCTGGTCCTGTGATTGTCCTACAGCGCCATACCAGGACTCCCAAAGAAAATATGTTGTTATGTGCTGTGGAGTCGGTTCCGACTCATACAGCGTTTCTGAGGCTGTAAATCTTTACAGAAGCAGAAAGCCTCATTCTTCTTCCGTGGAACAGGTGGTAGTTTCAAACTGCTGACTGTGTGATTAGCAACCCGATTTGTAACTACTATGCTACCAGAGCTCCTTAAAGAAAATATATATATAGCTTAATGCCTAAGTATAGTGCCATAGTACAGAATGATTAGTTATTTTATCTTTGTTTCCTTTTTTCCCCCCCATATGTTGTATGACGGAAACAATATCTCTTTCATATGAGTGATGATTGTAAAAGGGTTGAAAAAGTGGCCAAAAAGGTTTGATAACAGATAATAGTTGCTTATTTCTTCCCTCAGCATCTCAGTAATGTTTTGTTGATCCACAGAACAAGTAAAACAAGACTTTTAACATTACTTTTGTTTATTTAGTGTGGAATGTTATGACCCATTAGAAACATAAGAGCTTATTATCCTTAGTTTAATAGGACTATCACTAACCAAATGAGGATTCATTAATTATATATAATGTTCTTAAAACTTCATAGCTTTAAAAGGCATATTTTTTAGTTTCTCCTTACCTCAAAGTTTTAGTGTTAATGAAGCAGAGATGTTTCTGTGCAAATGTTCAGTGAATTATTTGGCCCTGGATGGTGTGAGAATATCTTGACAAGAGTGACATATTGTATTAGTGCACAATATTGAATGAACCCTGGTAGAGTACTGCAGAATTGCTAAATGTTGGAATTCTGATTCTGATTCCCTATTAGCATACCATCTGACCTTGAATAGAGGATGTGACTATATCATATCTTGACAGCTAGACATCTTTGAGTTTCTTTGTCCAGTTGATTTTATTTTGACTTTTGTTTAAGGTTTGTAAGAAATACAGAAAGTGAAGAAAAAAATCTACTTGACAGTTTTGTTAATAACAATTGGTAACAGCCCTATGCTGTAAAAAAGACTTTAGGAGTAAAAACTGACTTACTGCAGATTTCATAATTGGTTTGATTTTACTGAATGCCAGAATACTGAAAGCTTGTGGGGTGTTTTGTTTTTGTTTTTTTTTTTGGTGGGTCGGGGAGGGAGGCGGGGACTCTTCAAATACATGAATTTG